AGAAGGAGGAGGAGGAGGAGGAGGAGGAGGAGGGGGAGGGGGAGGAGGAGGAGGAGGAGGAGGAGGAGGAGGAGGAGGAGGAGGAGGAGGAGGAGGAGGAGGAGGAGGAGGAGGAGGAGGAGGAGGAGGAAGAGGAGGAGGAGGAGGAGGCGGAGGAGGATGGGCCAAGACAAGCTGCATGCGGCAGATTTCGTACCCCCTCCCCTGTCCCAATCCCACCCTCGCGTCCGACCCGAGCGCTCAAGAGCGCCAGAATCGAGCAGAGGTGGCTCAGGCTCTCTGGGGGCCAGCGGACCTGGAGGACGTACCGGTCGCGGCAATGTCGGAGCGTTCTCGGACGCTCTGGGAGCGTTCTGGAAGACTCTGGAGCGATCCATGTATCCTCTTCCGAGGCCTGGCGGAACTAAACCTGCTTCTGGAGCGGCCTCCGCTGGACGCAGATGGTCTCAACAATCCGGCCAATCACAAAATCCAGCACGGCCAGATTCTCGCCTCTTTGGGCGTCTGAGCCTCTGGAGGCCGGTTCCAGGCCACGGGGCTATCAAAGAAAGATCACCTTCGGGATGAAAAGCACTACCCAAGCAAGAAGGTCGCGAGGCATGGGGGGCCTGGAAGGGTGGGGAGGGGAGTCCAGCGTAGACTCAAGATATCCCCTGAGATCCGAGAGATCCGACGGCGCGAAAAATGTTCAAACATCCTAGAAAATCACAGCTAGAGCCCCTGGACCCCATCTTTCTGCGCAATTTCTCGAGCCCGATCGATCCGAGAGGGTCCCGGAGCCAGAAACCAGGCGAAGACGCCCAGCTCGTATCAATTGAGACGCCAGGATCTCGGGGTCCGCGCGGGCATTCGAAAGTTGCTCTGTAAATGCTACCTTGGGTGGTTTTGCTGCGGGTTGGCGGCGGCGCCGCCGGCGCGCACAAGGGGGTGTCGCCAGGGGGGGGCTTCGACGAGGGCGGGGGGGGGGTTCTTCGAGGGCGGGGGCCTCCTCGGAAGGGCCCGGAGGCTTTTAACAAGCCGCCTCTAGAGGTTTTTTAGATGGGGTCCGAGTAGAGTCAACCCGTAGAATAAGGACGCACGATAGTGGGACGCAGAGACACATACTGGTACTATACGTCCTCCTTGGAGGCGCGCGTCCGACCCGAACATGTAGTACACCTTTTTTGTAATATATCGTTTCCCAAGCGGTATGGCCAGAAAGCGCCCGCCACGACGCATATACTATCAGATTTCTCGGTGCGCGCGTCGCCCCTGGGGAGGGCGACGCACACATGGTATTAGTATGTTGGGGTGACGCCGAGATAAGGATGCAAGGGCCTTGGAAGGTCATGCCGACTCTCTGCGAGCGGGGAGCGGCCAGCGAAAGCGGCCAAGGATGGGACGAAGGGGAAAAATGCAAGAGTGACCTTGGAAAGTCGCTCATCTTTATTATGCGGGTTAACTGAATACGGGGTCGGAGGATCGCGCCGCATCGCCAATGCGTCTCCGATGCATCGACGATACATCGACGACCTCGGCGATGCTTAGCCGCCGATGGCGTGGCGAAAGTCGGGGCTCCGCAGCGAAGCCCATCGCCGATGCATCGGCGATGCAGAGCGATCCTTCGACCCCATCCGCTCGGACCTCATCTGGAAGGCCTCGAGCCTCAGAGACCAGGGGGGGGGGGCCTCTGAGACGTCGCCTGCCTCTGCAGCTGCTCCCCCCGGCCTTTTGCAGAAGGCCGCCCCCCGCCGCGCCGCTCTTGCGCGCGCCGCCGAGCAGGGCGGGAGCGGCCGGCATCGCACAAATCACGGCGGACCAACCTCGAGCGCGGGCGGGTGGGGCAGAACGGCCGACGGGCCCGCGCCGCGGGCGCGCGCCCCGCGCGCGCGGCGCGAAACAATCAAATCAATACCTGCGAAGCAAACGGCGCCAGGGCGCGCCGCGACCCGCCCCGGCGCGATCCCCGCGGCGCGCCTGCGCGAGCCCCGCGGCGCGCCCGCGCAAGCCAACGCAGAAGCAACAACCCCCGAGCGCGGGCGGCGCGCCCTGCGGTCGGGCAGCATGCGTCGCGCGTCGCACGCGCCGCGGCGCCGCGGGGCCCGTCGGCCGACCTTCGATTTGTGCCCGCGAAGCACCCTGCGGGCGTGCGCCCCCCACAAATCACGGCGGACCAACCTCGAGTGCCCGACCTCGGGCGCAACGCCCCAACGAGGGGCGCGGCGACCGAGCCAGGGCTGCCGCCCCGCTGGCACACCACGCGGGGGGGCGCGGTGACGCGCGCTGTCCCCGACCAGGCCAGCCCGGGCGTTGAACCCAACGCTGCCGGCGCCCAGGCCCGCCATGGTCGGGGCGCGCCAGGCCTGCCGCGACCCAATGGAACCGCGGGTGCAGGTCGCAGCGCGCGCCGAGTGTGCGAAGGAACAACTTCCCCGCAGGCACCGTGGCAGACTCTGGCCTGCGCCCCGCGCAGGGGCTAGGGCGCGAAGCGGCGGCCACCGCCTCTGCGGTCGCGTCGCCCTCGTGCTGGTGCATATCGAGATAATATTTAAAAGCGTTGGAACTCCAATCGGCGCCGCGGAGAATTTCGCAAAGGCGGCCGTTGCACCAGCGCTTCGTCTCCGCGCGCCCACGGCGGAAAGCTTTGCTCGTAAAGGATGCCGCCGCTGGCGCCCCGGCGTGCGCAGCCGCCGCCTTCATCGCGCGCTGCGCAGGCGCGGCGATTGAGACGATACCGTTGCTGTCGACTCGCCGCAGATGCGGGAACGCGGGCGAGCCGACACAAATGCTATCGAAAAAGGTACGCGCCGCGTGTAAAATGCACGTCGCTGGCGAGTGTGCGCACCAGCACTTCCGCACAGCGACTGTCGGACCGTCGCGGTTCTTACGCCGTGAGAAATGCATCGTCGCCGAGTCGCCCGAAAAGAAGATAACGACTCTTGCCCTTGGCCTGCGCAGGTCCTGGTCGGAGAAGGCAAAATCCTTGAACGCCAGCGGGTCGCCTCGCTCGACCAAGAGGGCCTCGGATGGCACTCGCAAGGCGATTCCCCAGGACACCAAGAAAAGCGCGCGAAGGGCGCTGTCGGTGCGCGCGAAGTCGAGCATCGCCGGTAAATGTGACAGCAGCACGAAAGGCTTCGGCGGCCGCCTCATAGGGCGCCGCTTCCCGATGGCCTTACGGGCCCCCCTGGCCAGGGGATGAGTGAAGACAGACGCGTCCTGGCCCAGCAGCCGGCAAGCCTTCTTTAGCTGTGCCACGTAATTGCCGAAAGTGCGCGGGTTGCGAAACTCGAGCGCGAACAAACACACTTCGTCGGCCGACGGCGGCAGCGCACTGCAGCCGCCCCCGCTGGGTCGGCGCCGCGCGAAAGCCATCCACGCCCGGACCGCAGACCTCCAGGAACCGAAGGAGCGCGGCGCTGAACCGGCAACTGCCACCGCGCGCGCGCGGGCCAAGTCTTCCTGGATGGCCGCCGGCGCCGGGGCCCCGCGATCGCCGCGCGCGACGGAACTGCGCGGGCCGCCCATAAGCGCGGGCGACAATTGCACGGCTCGCACGGCACTGTAAGCGCGCGCCAGCTCATGCCTCGCAGCGCTGTCGCCCGCAGCGCCCGGCGCAGGCGCGCCCGGGCCGCCGCTCGGGCGCTGCCCCGAAGCACCGGCAGCACTTGCACGCGCAGGCGCTGGTTGACCCGTCGCGCAAGACGGCGCTCGCGGCGGCGCGCGAGGCGGCTGCGGAAGCCCCGCCGCGCCCGGCGGCGGCGGACCAGGGGGCGGCCGCGGCTTGCACGCCGCGATTTCCTGCAGCCGCTCCTGGGCGGCTGCAGGGACGTCTGCGACACCGTTAACGCGGTCCCAGGCCGCGCCCCTCAGATCGGCGATGTGCTCGAAGCCGTTCGCGATAAGCAAAGTAGCGATACGGCGCGCGACGACCAAGTCACCTGCGCGCGCGGAAGCACGCGGGCCGGGGCGCGCGCCCGCGCGCGGGGCGCCTGGCGCGCCGGCCCTGACCAATTGCTGCGACAAGCCTTCGACGTCGCCCAAACACGTAGACATGCCAACCGAGAACGTCAGCGCGGACGCGAATGCGTGATGCTGCCCCCGCGCTCGCGCGCGTTGTGGCCGCGCCTGCCGTGGCGCGCGGCGACCGCCGGATGCGCGGCCGACGCCGGCCGCGTGGAGGACGTGTTGGGCGGGCGTGGCCCGGGGCGTCGCGCCCCCCGCGCGTCGCCCTCCTCACCGAGAGACCAGACGAAGATGGGGCCGATGCCTTTTGGTCAGAACCACAGCGCCTCCCAAGCCTCCGGCGCGCGGAAACGCGCGTCCAGCGCCGCGGGCACCTGGCGCGCACCGAGAAACTGCAAGAGTTTGTACTCCTCGCGTGACGGCCCGTCTGAAATGTTGCTCTTGGACGGGACTCCGTGCACCCAGATGGACAGAGACATGCGCGCCGCGAGGGACCAGATTCCGTGGACCAGGGCTGCATGATCCCAGTCCTTGGCGCACGCGCGCGCCACCGACCTCTCGGCGCCCGAATTCTCAGAGAAGACTTCCAGCGCGCGCCCAGACAGCCGCCTTTCAAATTACGACAGTCCCAGCGCGATCGCAAGCACTTCAAAGCCCATGATTTGGCCGTCGCGCCTGCGTTTGAAAGATTGCATGAGCTCCGCGTCGGGCGCGAGCTCCGCGTACGAGACCTCGCCGTCTATGAAAAGCACGGCTGCCACGCGAGGAGGCGCGCTGCGGGCGTCGCAGAACACGTGCGCTGCCGGCATTTCCCCCTGTTCCCACTGCGCGACTTCGTGCAGCCTGAGCTCGAGCACCTGGATCCACCAGTGCAATGCGAGCTCGAGGGGCCGCCCGACGCGGCTAGAGCGGCAGTGCTGGTGCGCGAAAAGCAGGCGCAGCATCGCTCTGCCGAGACGATTGAACAGGCACTGCGCTGCCCACGCGAGGGCGCCTGCCAGTTTCTTAGCAGCGCCCTGGTGCAACTTGCCGCGCGCGATCGCGCCCCGGATGACAGCCGACCATTTGAGACGCTTGTCCTCCGCTGGTTCGCAGTGGATCCCGCGCGCACTAAACGAGAACAGCACGCCGAGCACGACAAGCTGGGCCCCGTGCGCCAGCTTCGAGTCGGCCACCGCGCTGCTGCCAAGCGCGGCCCTGATGACGCGCGCAAAGCAAAGTTTCGCGTGTTCTACCGCGCCGGAACGATCCGGCGAGAAGTAGTCATCTACGTACCGAAGCACGGGCAGCTTGGCGAGCTGCCTGGCGAAGTGCGCGAGCATGGCGGCCACGCGGCCCCAGTCGTGGCAAGATGCTAGCGCGCCGAAAGGGCACACCTGGTGTTGAGAGCACCACAGGCGGTCGCCCTGTTTGAAAATGCTCACGGCAGCCCACCTGTCGGCTGGGTCTAGCGGAATGCGGCGATATGCAGAATCAATGTCCGCTTTCCACAGCTCGGGTATCTCGCCGCGCGAGGCATAGAAAACGCGCGCCAACGCGACGAGCATATCAACGCCCTCCACGCCTAATTTCTCGGCGGGGGCACGCGCGCCGTTGACTCCTGAGCGCGTGAAATCGTCCATCGGGCGCACCTTTGTAGACCCATCCGGTTTGGGCTGGGGAACCCCGAACCTGGGGGCTAAGCGAATTGTCTCGCCCCATGCCGCGGCGAGCTCGGACGCGGAGACGCCGGGCTTAAACGCCCGGGGCGGAGACATCCTGCCCAGCCCCGCTTCGCCCCGCGCCTTCTGTAGCAGCTCGCTGGCGAGCGGGTCCGCGCGAATTGAGGAAAGCAAAGACGCGTTGCCCGCGAGGGCGCTGGACCTGAGCTCCTCGACCGCCGCGCCAGCGTCGCCCGGGCGCTCGCCTGGGCCGAGGGCGCGGCCGTTGCCGCTGCACGCTAGGTTGCCCATCAGAGGGGCGCCGCGCGTTGGGAAATCTGCACATTCGGCGTCGTGCCACGCTGACTCGCGCGCCAGTTGCCGCATGGGCGGGATATTGACCCCCGCGACAAGCAGGCCGAAGTGAGGCGGCGCTGCCCTGCGCTCGGCCTCGGCGGCCCCAGAGGCTTCGAATTGTGCTGCCATGACCTCGATGCGTCGAACGCGCTGCTCGCGTTCGCAGATGCACTGGGCAAGGCTGCGCTCGGCGTTCCACTGAATTGCTACCAGACAATCCTGGCGCACGCGCTCTTGGGTTTCGCGTCGCGAAGGAGCAGCGCCTCGCGGGTGAAACGCAACGCCTCGATATCATCGGGCGTTAATTCGCTGCGCTTAGCTGGCGAGCATGACGCGGCTTGCGCGCGCGGCGAGGGACTCAGATCCGACAAGAGCGTGCGATCGCGCGCCGCCTCTGGCTGAATCTTCACTGGCGCCGCAGGGGGCCGCTCCGGGTGCGCGGGTAGCCCGTCAGCCCCGCAGTCCGGGGCGCGGTCGGGCCCTCACGACCCCGTCATCTGGCGCTTGTATGGCGGCGTCGCAGGCGCCTGCGAGCCGCTGGCGGCGCTCCCGGACGAGTAGCCCTTTGTGCTCTTTGCCGTAGCCCTTGTCCCCTTTGCTGTGGCCCTTGGCCTTGGCGCTCTTCGCGCGGTAGTCGCTGCCGCCCTTGTGGTCCCGGGCGCCGCCCTTGCCTTTGCCCCTGGGCTGCGACGGGGCCGAATCCTGCAAGACGGGCAGCCCGCGGGCGAGGTACTCGCGCTCTGTCCTGAGCACGATGGGCGAGTCCTGGGACAGCGCGGCCTTGGCGGCGTCAAAGCTGTCCTGGCCTGCAGCCAGGTCGGCTCACTGGCGCCTGGCGACCTCGTCGCAAAACACGGCGATCGCGGCTGTGCGCTGATTGGACCGCCCCGACAAGGCGAGCTGCATCACGACTTCCTTATGCGCCATGGAAGCCGCGTACGCCATTTGGCCGGTGAGCTCCGCAACGATCGCCCACCTGTCGAAGGCGACGCGCCACTGCAAGATGCTCGGCAGGTCGCCCTGCTTCCTGTCGGGATCTCTCGCCTGGCAGATGCCGCGGGCGATCTCCTCCGCGAATGACCGCTCTTCGACGCACTCCTCGGCCGCACTGGGCTGCCTTTTGTCCGTCGCGTAATACGGAAGGAACTTCTTGATCCGCAGATAAAGGAAAGGCCTCTGAATGCCTCTTCCCTCCGCGGCCTTGACCTGACTCTGCACCCAGTCGGTGAGCTGGGGAGACGGCCAGCACGATGCCGGCAAGTCAGCCAGTGACACTCTATAAGGGTATAGATCACCGGGGGCCTTGGCTACCCTAGGCCCTACCCAAGGCCCTAGGCTTCCCAAGGGTAGGCCCTACCCAAGGCCCTAGGCTTCCCAAGGGTAGGCCCTACCCAAGGCCCTAGGCTTCCCAAGGGTAGGCCTACCCAAGGCCCTAGGCTTCCCAAGGGGTACCCAAGGCCCTAGGCTTCCCAAGGGTAGGCCCTACCCAAGGCCCTAGGCTTCCCAAGGGTAGGCCCTACCCAAGGCCCTAGGCTTCCCAAGGGTAGGCCCTACCGAAGGCCCTAGGCTTCCCAAGGGTAGGCCCTACCCAAGGCCCTAGGCTTCCCAAGGGTAGGCCCTACCCAAGGCCCTAGGCTTCCCAAGGGTAGGCTAGGGGTAACCCTTTATTGCGGATTACAATATGATTCCTTTGGTCGGGCGGGCGGGCGGGACATTAATAGCATTGGTTGCCTTGGTGCGGATACAATATGATTCCCTGTGTGGTGGATTATCAACTGATTATTCTTGTCGGACGGGCGGGCGGGACACTAAAGGCATTGATTGCATGTGTGGCGGGTGGCACACTGATTCTTATTGTGGCAGATTACACATTGATTCCTTTTGTCGGGCGGGCGGGCGGGACATTCAAGGCAATGATTGCTTGTGTGG